ATTTCTTGAGAAAATGTTATTTCCACATGTCCATTCTTGAAGTCTGATATTGCCAAGAGAGCTTTAGTTAATGCCAAACATGCATGTTTTGAAGCTGGTGAGTGATCTCTGGAGGAAACTTCAGCTTGGAGGGAACACTTTCACAGGCCCTCCAAATGGCCCCTTTAGAAGGCTGCAGATACCCTCTTTTTCTTTTTTTTCCCCATGCTTGGAAACCCCAGAATGTGTCAGTCTTTGCAAAACCTTCTAGATGTAGTTCATCAATATACCAGTAAGTGTATGTCTGTGTACAAGTGGCTGTGCAGTGTGTAAATACTTTAAATTATGATAGAAGAATAAAGTTGCCTATCCTGCTGAGGAGCATCTGTAATGTGGTGTAAGTGACCCGTGGTGGGGTGCAGACAAGTTGGGAATGTGGGCCATGTACTGGGCAGGCAGTCTATAAACAAAGCCGCCGTTTGTCTCCTAACCGTCACTGATTGGATAGGAATGTGCAGAGTACAGTCACAATATTTCCTTGCAGATGCTTGTTTCCCCTCTGCTAAATAAGCTGCATCATCAAGCTTATGACCAGCAGCTGCGTACCAGACCAGCTTATTGAAGAGACAGTGTGTGGGCAACCAGCTTCAGGAACCATCCCCGCAAGGATCCCACTTGTACAGCTCCTTGGCAGTGTTTGTGGAGATACTTAGAAGATCTTTGACACAGTGATCTGATGTTGCTGCATCCATCTGCAGAGGCATGGTGAAAACCCTCTTTTAAAGTTACTGGGGAACCCTCAGACCAGAAGAACCCTGGAAGAGAAAATTAAATCACTGAAAAACTGAAGAGGTTGAGGCATTCAAAGAATTAATGATTAAAGAAGAGTCCATAGGATTACAGAACTTTGTGCGACACGATGATCTGCTGAGCGTGCGTTCGAGCAGGAATTTTTCAGCTTCAGGGCTAATCTCACAGTTTGAAGGTAAATTGAAAGTGCTGAAGTGTTAAGACAAGTTATGTCAGGTACACACCAAGAAAGATAGACCTAATAATCTCAGCTTTGAACGTTGTTTTGCTAAGCTTGTGTTACAGCTACAGTTTGAGGTGGGTGTGGAATAGTCCTACGTGGTAGACACGTTGTTGAAATGCCCTGCAGAAGCGACTGTAGAAAGCAAAGGGAGCTTTAACTGCGTGTGTGTTGAGTGTACACAGGATGGCCATCGTCTCCCTCAGGGTACACCTTCAGAGAGGTGATCTGCCACCACAAGCACTGCAGAAGGCAGGACAGCACGTTCATCGCTATTTCAGTGCAACAACTAGTAAGCTATTGCAGATGCTACCTGTTGTTGGCCTTTGCCTTAAAAAAAATTAGCTGCTGCCTTGGATATTAGTGTCTTCACGAGGTTACTTTAGGTATCTTCTAGAGCGTTTCTATTACCTAATCCTCTGCAAACAGAGCTCTTAACAGCAGCTGAGGGTCGTTGAGTCTCACAACTCCCTAGTATGTGCGTGTCAGAACTGAGCAGAAAACCAGGTGCTTAATCCTCATTCTGTGTGTCCGTACAGCTCCTAAACACAGGTACTCTTAAAGGAAATAGTATGCTCAATGGACTGTTGAACCAAAAACCACATTTTTCTCTCTTCCCAGACAAGCTGTCTGGAAGAATAATCTGCACAGAGCACGGTGGAGTGGAACACAAGCTGGCAGGCTGCAGGGTCTGAGAACAACCTGGGTTTTGTTACGGACAAGTTGGGGCCCATCAGGGGTGCGTTTCCTTTCAAGCTGCTGCAGCACTGCAGAACAGACCACCAACTATTTACATTCTCTTGCCTTAGCGTTACGGACACCGTGCGTTTGTTTGATGGGTTGTGAGGATGTGAAAGTGGCTGCCCACTTATGGGCCCCCTGAAGTGAAGCAAGCGGTGCTGCGTGCTTTGCACTGCCCCACGAGGGTTTCGTCAGTGGACATGTTTTGAATAAAAGCCCAAGTGGCTTGTGGCTTTCTGCCCTTTTCACAGAGTCCTAGCACGGCTTCAAATTTTGCATTCATTTTCTTCATGAGAGTACAGCTGCGGTGATTCACACTGAAGTTGGTATACTTTGGGTTATTTTATTTCCCATCGGTGTCTTGACTGATACAAACTATACCTTTTTGTCCTTCCCTACTCCAGCCATTAAAGACTCCTGTACAATCCATACACATGAATAGTAATGACTCCCCTTTTTTATCTAAGGTATTCTTGGTTGTTTACAAGATAAGCATTCTCTGTGATATGCTGCTAGTTCACCCATATTCAAAACAAACCACGGTGATGCTGATCAGTGTTTTTCATTGGATTTTATCGTTCGTATTAATTAGCTTGTTTTGGAGGGCAGCTTAGCCACAGATCAAGCACAGGTATGCAGGGAAATCCATTGTGATGCTGATGTAAAACAATTGCATCTGATCTGATTCAGAATTCTTTTGACTACACAGGTAAATTACACTTCATTGAAATTAAAAGCTACTTCGCTGGTAAATTACACTTCATTGAAATTAAAAGTTGCTGATAGTAAATCAGCTGTGACCAGTAACATTGATTACAGATGTCGGATACTTGCAGGGGTATGTATCAGAACTGATAACTAGATATAAAAATTACTTAATATGTGATATGTGGAGTGCCAGTAACTTTCATTTATAGGAATTGTTTTCATGATTACTGCAGTTTTAAAGCTTAATTTTCACTTCTTTCTACACTGTAACAGTAGAAGAATAATCCACTATATACACAAAATGAGTATGTGTCATTGATTCTAGTATGTGCTGAGGGCTGGGTGTACGAAAGATTTTATATGTCTAGTAGGTGTGTGAAGTGTTTAAATCCAAAATTGAGATACACAGTAAACCCTTCTCAGCTTGAACATAGACATTTATTTAGGATCTCTACCTCTCTCTTCTTCAGTAAAGTCTCTCAAGGAACCTGTGTTTTTGCCACTGAGCAAAAAGTCCAAGTGCAGTCTTGAGGGTTGTACCTGCACCCTAGCCAGATTCATGTGTTCACCTGTGTTTCCTTGCAGGACCTTCTTGGCAGGTTCCTGACCTGCTGACTTAGGTTTGGCAGATGATGGTAACAGTTGTTTATAGTGTGGTGATAAGCATTCTGCCAGAGTTTGCGAGAGGCAAGTTAAAATTCTTCCTCTGCCTCAATCTTCTGTGTCTTGTGAGAGTTCCAATGCGCTAACAGCTGGCAGCTGTTATCAAATGCCATTCTGTGTCGTTATAAAGCGGTAGCTTTGTCCAACCAAGGTCTTAGGTGCCTTGGGAGATTGAAGGCATACTTCATGCCTGAGAGTTATTTCACCTAAATGCAGTAGGCTAAATATGTGGGCTGCCTCTGTAATCATGGAGCAAATGGCAGTGTTGTAGGTTGGGTTGAACTGTCTTCCGGAGGTGCCCACTCATACCGTTCAGTGGAGGGGAAGCCCAGGCAGCTGATTTTTGAATAGGTGAGGTCAGACGAAATTAGTCCAGCCCTGATGGGTACGTACTAAATCCCAGCCTAGGTTCCTGTTCAGGACTACCTATGTTTGCTGGAGACAAGGCAGCTGACCCAGCGTGTCCTGCACAGCACCATGGCTGTCTCCCAGGCCTGACTGATGGGTAGATACACCTTGGTCTCGGAAAGCCTCACACCTAA